CACTTTTCTCTTTTGTTTTGCTGAAACGCTCTTTTAACTCTTTGCTCTTTTGTTTTTACATCAGAGAAACTATGCTCTGCCTGCCAACCGGACTGCCAAGAACGCGCCACTCATCCTTCTTCACCTGTATTTGGGTTAAAATACGCACATAGTGGCATCTTTGGTGCCCCTTCTTATAATAATTGATAACTGATGGATAATTGCTCTACTGATGTCGAGGTTGAACTAGTTAAATGTTGGTGTATTTTTGTTTACACTAGCTGCTGTGCCCGTGCTTCCCAACGGAAAGATGTACTATATACCGCCTAATCCAAACACATGTTAAGTAGTTCAGATTTATAAACAAAGAGCCAACAAATCTAAACAAAACAGTATGACCTACATTGTAATTGTCCTAGTGTTTACATTTAAATGTCGACACAAAGGTAAACAAATATTGTGCAACATGCTTCCATGGAGACCAATTAATATTTACTTTTGAAAACCTCGCCTCAAAACATCCAAGGGACATACAAGGGGCGAAGCCCGAGAGGAACTGAGGGAAGTGAATAGGCCTATGACGTTCCTATATAGGTGGACCATCATTGTGCTTAATTTGGGCTAGATCGGTTTAGTATTTTAGTCGTGGCAGCCGCACAGACAAACAGACAGACACCACCTCAATTTAATAATAAGTATAGTTTTTGCTTATACAGTTTTACGCAGGTCAAACTGCAGACATTTGATTGATTATCGATTATGATTGGAAGACTGGGGAAGATGTTGTGTTTATCACTACCAATAATTCACCCAACCAACCGTTACACTCTAATAAAAGCTAAGCCCACAGTTAAACAGTAAAAACATTGCCTTTTAAGCAACCAACCTAAGGGCCAAAAGGTGGAGGATATAATACTATACGATTGTAGGATTTACATAGAGGGTGTTTGTTTAGTTATTTTCTCCTTCTTATTTTACAAATTTAAAAACGACTCATCCAAATAAAATTCTGCAAACTATTGATTAATATATATATACAAAAATTTGTATTAGCTTATCATACAATGGTCAAATACACACTCTGCCACCAGCTCATTAAACTATGTTTCATTTCAATCAAAATGAATAAGAAATATTATAACTACATTTGGTAAATATGGATGTTATTACCTATGTTAGAAAAAATCCCCCTAAACCAAATCACTAATCGTTCAATCTCCCCTAAAATAACACTAGTTTTTAGCAATACCATCCAAAGTCAATGGCTTTACGTTTAATCAATGGCTTAACACTTAGTTACGTCACGGGTGCCAGTTGACCCGGTAGCGTATGTAACGTTGTCTACCGTTAGCCCCATTCTCCCAGCCATGCTGTCCTACAATAGCATAGCATAGGTTGGAACGCAGAATGCAGTTAATGTATTGATAAGTTTAACTGCATATGCAGTGATAAGGGGGCCGAGCCTAAGGTCGTGAAAGGTAGATAAATCTTTGTTGTTAATTTCGAACGTCTAACATATGATCGTTGGCCTTATTGTTGTTTCTCGAGTAGTTGGTCAATGCTGTATTTGATTCATGACTTATTTTTCCTACCTATTATCGCTTCAGGACTCAGGTTCTTCCGTATTCGATTTGAGCTTATTAATAACATTGAGTAATGAGAATGATTTGTTTATTGTAGTCAACCAAACCTCATTGCCTTGTAAACAAAAACAACCCAAATACGGTATAAATAATAGTATAGCTTATTCCCTATATGGGAAAATCGCTAATATTTCGTACCTAGGGCCGAAAATGAGGTTTTGCCGGCTCGAGATTGGTTTTGAAGTTTGAGATGAAGTCGATAACAAACGAACGAGAGAACTTAAAACGCTATTTTTCACCACACTATACTCTCACAATAATAATTATTCACAAACAGTCAACACAACTACAACTTTAAGGTTATGTGAAATATTTTGAGGAATCAGCAAAAATAACAATTAATAGTTGCCTAAGTAGTTTTGACAATAAAGTATATTGCAATGTTATGTATACTGCTTGTGTATTTAATATACATTAATGTTTTACGTAAATAAGCCATTGGTTTTCGGCCCTAGGGATGTAAAAACCTGCTCGGTCCCCAAATGACGATGACAGCTGGCATTGACAGCAATACGTAGCTTTCGGCATTCAATAAACGTTTGTAAAACGTGGTAAAAAGAGTGGTGAAAAATCTAGAACTGAAGTGTGGGGATAATTCAGTCAAGATATTTGATTAAAAGCCTGGTGATTGAAGTTCTTTTCTGTAAATACAGTTTTCCCCATTTTTAGGCAAAGAACTGCAGATTACAGTGGGCACTTAATCATTGGGCCACTGCATCATACATAACATTCATTTGTAATTGACCATATTTGAACCCGTCCCCCATGTCTGAAAGTGTTCTAGTCCTCATTACAATTTCTAATCAGTCGAAAAATTGCCCTGCTGCAGCCAAGCTAGACAACAATTATTAACCTCTATTATTAAGTGCTGCAGGAAGCTAGCGGGCAAGCTTAGTTAAACACAGGTAATCAGGTAATCATGTAGACGATGATTTAATCTGTGCTGTAAAGATAAACGTTGAGCTAAAGTCAAGTGCAGGTAATCATCGGACCGTTACTTCTATCCAAGTGTAAACATTGCACATACACACGCACACTCACGAGCACACATAGAGCTATACGTTAATCTTCTGGAAAATTCGGAAAGGTGGATATTTATTCAGTTCAATCCAAGGATTGCATTTTGGAAGGAAGGGCATAAAAGCAGTCAAAGCCCTTCAAAATTTTGAGAATATGCTAGGATTGAAACCTCGCTCTCGCACTAAATTCCGATATGCTGTTTGGGCAGCGTAAATGTTAAAGTAGTTTTTTTAACCTAAAACCTTGCCTCATTTTTTAAATTATTTCATTGAGGTCAAGCAAACAATGAAATTTGTATACTGGAGGTTAGAGCGATCTTATTCTTCTTCTGTTTTGATGACCCGAGTTCAAATCTTGCCAATCACCAGATTGTAGCTTTAAAATCCATCACAGCCTTTAAACAGTTTATGACTTAAGGTCAATACGTCATAGTGAAGTAGCACATAAATAGGCTTGTGCTAACGTACACTGGTTCGAAGCCCAATCTGTGAATAGCTAATCTAGTAGTGAAAACGAAAAAGAATATGTGTACAAGGCGAGTTAAAAACTATTAAAACATTTGCTCTGATAAACTCAATGCATACACAGGCATTCCAACTACGTAAGCTACAGCATACAAGTGTAGTATAAAACCCCCACCTTATAATTGCAATACTTTGCTATGGTTTGCCTCCCGGACGTTTGTCGCCTCCTCACGTCAAGATTTTATCGGTCAAGGAGTGTTGTTCCGAATCCGTCTGGTTTGACAAAGTGCGCATGTCTAAACAACTCCGTGGGAACAGCGCATGTGCGTTCAGTTAATGCACGGTGCGTAATACCATTGACTTTGGATACTGCGAGTAGATCTCTTTTTTTAATAGTCTTTTGCTTAAATTTTGTGTCCTACCTTCACGTGAATGCTAGACTGTAACCCGGAATCGCTTTGTAGTTAAGAAATGTCTCGAGTCGAGGGTTGGATAATTTCGGGGATTGACGGGATTGAACCCGTGTTCTCGGGAACCAGAGCCCCGTGCTCTTCCACGAGCAAAGCTCACCCCCCGCAAGTAGACCTCTCATTTAGTATTCTTGCTTTAAAACTTCATTGGTGTGTTTAATATTCAAAGCAAAGGGCGTTAAAGGCATTGACATTTTTATCTAATTTGAGGACAAACTTAACCTAAATTTGCTATACTATTTGGTTGTTTACTGTCTACTTAAGTTATGTATCGTTCCATTTAGTGTAAATAGCTTAATTGTAGTCGGTGGGAATATTTTTTTCTGTAGGACTTTTGAAAACGTGCAAATTTACGGACACCAGAAAAAAAGCATATAAGCACTAAAGTTTAGAGTTAACAAAGCTGTGTTTTCCCAATTAAAAACAATAAAATTGTCAAGGAGCCTAAACAGTATGTAATGCATAAAAATTCAATAACTTATGAGTATTTTTTACAAAAGTTTAGATAAATTCTCAGACGACTGAACCCAGCTACACTTTCCCAACTCCACTACTGCGAAACTCCAGCTTTATTTGTAGCTCCAATCTGAATGTTGAAGGACGATGGAAAGCGGCGAATGACCCATGGCTAGCACCGGAAGCGGTGGAACACAGGAAAAATAAGTCACAGTGATCTAGAATAATAGGTTACGCCAGTAACAGTTATAGGTAATAGGTTAGTACGATCGTTGCAAAAGCATGACTTGTAAAAATCGCGTTAATCACCGTTTCGTTACGCGGAAATTTGAGAAAATCAGGAAATGGGTCAATGAGGAAATGTTTTTTAACGTAATAGTATAAATTAAGTGTAAAAGTATAATTTTTGTGGTTGCAACTTTGGATACTAAACTTCGTTAAGTATACGGACAGTAAATTGTAATCTGCATTCCATTCGAAGAAGAAATCATATTTCGTACTCCATATTTTCATTGTAGTTGAATGAGCTAGAGATTTAAATAAATTTTCTGTTAACAGGGGATTAGTGGATTGGTATTTTATATATGTATCAAAAACTAAGTAATGTGTTGTCCAGTATTACGTAAAACTGCGATTTTGAATTTTCATAATCTATTTATAAACAAGTTACGCCAGATTTAAATAGCCAAAGTCATTGTAAAAATGTTAGTACTTTAGTGGATACTGGATACAGGGGAAAAAGTCTTGATCAGTGATCTGGCTTTCCTGAAGTAAGCAGTGTAAATTACCACTTGCGGCGTCTTCAAACAGAAGGATATTGACGTAAAACTCGTTCGGCTTTATGAGGATATGAAACGTTAAAATAACCAAAAGAATCACGATTCTATGAAACGTACGGATGAAACTATATAACAGTGCTAAACTGTACACAGAACGCAAATTATTACGGTAATTTTAATCACATTTACCTGGAGCTGCCCTAGACTCATGATCACCTTGACTATCCTCCACACTTCTCACTCCCGAACTGTCCCGTGGCTGTCCTCGCCGCATTCCCGGGCGTACGCCCCATTGGCTTTCACACACGTTGTCACCTCTCTCACGTGTCACGCTGCACCCAGCAACACACAATGTGGTCATGTCTGGGGGCTACCATTTGTACGACAAGCAACTTGGTCGTCAAGCCAGTTGACTGTAATGTTAAATATAGATTGTCGAACAAATGGTAGGAACTCGTTTGATGTACGAGGTGCCACCATTTGTACGACAAGCAACTTGATCGCCAAGCCAGTTTACTGTAATTTTGAATATAGATTGTCGAACAAATGGTAGGCACTTTTGTGATGTACGAAGTACCACCTTTTGTATGACAAGTAACTTGATCGCCAAGCACGTTGACTGGAATTTTCAATATATATTGCCGAACAAATGGTAGGCACTTTTGTGATGTATGAGGTACCACCATTTGTACGACGAGCAACTTGGTCGTCAAGCCAGTTGACTGTAATTTTCAATATATATTGTCGAACAAATGGTAGACACTCGTCGTGTAATATACGAGGTGCCACCATTTGTACGACAAGCAACTTCGTCGTCAAGCCAGTTGACTGTAATTTTCAATATATATTGTCGAACAAGTGGTAGGCACTCGTGTGATGTACGAGGTGCCACCATTTGTACGACAAGCAACTTCGTCGTCAAGCCAGTTGACTGTAATTTTAAATATAGATTGTCGAACAAATGGTAGGCACTCGTCGTGTGATGTATGAGGTACCACCATTTGTAGACAAGCAACTTAATCGTCAAGCCAGTTGACTGTAATTCTCAATATAGATTGTTGAACAAATGGTAGGCACCCATCATGAACAGCTGACGTTTTCAAAACATATCAAGTTGGTGTAATTGGAGAGCTAAAATATAATCGAACATTTTTGAATATTTTTATGAGAGACATCCAATACGGAGAACTCATAGCATAAAAGGCATTCGGTTATTTTTCGTTAGCTCACGACTTTCCTATTACCATTACCAATTAAGTTGGGGAAAGCCTTGGCGTATTTGAACCCAAACGAATATTATGGATGACAAGATGAGTACAGAATGGAGTGAGAGTGAGATGATCTGAATGGCGTTGGTTTTTTACTAAATATTCTACTTTTTAACCCATTGAATAAAACCTTATTTAAGCAAAATTATCAAGGACAGCTGATGTCCTTTTGGTGTGTGAGCTTCTTGAAATACTTTGGATGTAGCTACGAAAAACTTACAAAACTAAAAATTTCCAAAAGAAACATCCAATTAAAATATCTATTGTTAAAATACTTATGTCTTATTCTAATGTAAATATGAGGAAGCAAAGATTCTCACTGGCCCTGAGTTTGAATCCACGAATTAAATAAAAAATAATTCCGTGCATTAATTGCGCCAAAGAGTTCCTTAATTGCGCCAAGCCCAAGCCAGGTAGTGGTGAGTTGCTGGCAGAAGGAATGTCCTTGTTTATGTGTCATCCTAACCTGTCCTAACCCTAACCTAACCTAACATACTCAATTATACAAAGAGGGCCGTCACTTGGTGCAGTTAATGATTTTATCGGGTTGCTCCCTGGAGTAGTTGGCGCAATTCAGGAATACTCGACTACCTGACTCAGATCAGTTGGCACAATTAATGCCCACAAAAAAATAATTACCTCGTTTGATCATGCTGCCAGTCATACCAATGGTATTGTACAGTATATAGACGCTGCTTCTATTTTGTAGTGTGTTTTTTCTGTAGTTGAAAGTAAAGCTTCAAACACAGATGCCGAACCAGTATCGGAGATGTCATTGAAATATCTTACCATTTCAAGCTTGCGATTAAAACAACCAAGATGGGAAAACTTCACTCGGATCTGAAATGACGAGATGACAACTTGATTGAACAGTTATTGGTAGTTAGTGTGGTTTAATTGAGTTATTGAATTTAATGACGGAATTGTATAAATATAATTGTCACTTATCATAGTTATGATAGTTATGACCATATCAGTACAATCTTAGTTGTAATTATTAGAATTCTTTTGATCGGGTTGCCTGCTTTTACACAATAAAATAGTGGTTTACTACTTTATATGAGGGTAAAATGAGCAAATATTTATGTACAAAAACAAAACATATGTTTACACTCAGTTTTTTTTAGGAATTTCATAATACAGTACTGTTTTTTTTGCGTTATCTTTGCATGGGTTTTCCTTTTGTTTTGTTTTTGCATGGTTTGTTTGTTTCCCAATTATCATATTTATCTAGCATGCATTTCTGAGTCAACGTGGACTATTATTTATTTATTTATTTGACATTGAAATGTGACATTGAAATGTGACATTGCCTATTACTTTGCTGAATGGTCAAATAAAATCATTGAATAGTTCATCAACCAATTGTAAAAAGCTATTTTACCTACCTAGATGTAACGAAACAAACTGTTTGTTATATTAGACATCCACATTTTTCAATTGAATAAAACTTTCGATGATTTTAAAAGCTAAAATTTCTAAAAATGTAAAATATGTTAAAATAATTTGTAGGGAAATTCCAAATTAATGGTAGGCCTACCCAGCAATTTAGGATGAACGGTTTTCTATTAAAATCAGTGCTTGGACCTACTTAGGTTCATTAGATTTATCTGAAATAAAGAAATTTCAAAGCAAACAAATTCTTTATGCATTGAATTAGGTAATCACCCTAAACCAATCAAATTTTTTAAACTTGATAAACATGTTACTAACAATTTGTTCAAAACATGTTATTCGGTACATCTTAAACTACATTATAGCACATACCCAATATAGTTCACGTAACAGTTATATGTTATCAAGGTGTATACGCCTTGATATGTTATAACAATGGAAAAACAAAAATATTTCCCCTATCCAAGAGTTAAAATACAAACAAGATTAGTTTTGACTTGAATTCTCTCAATGCCTCTCGCCCGCGCAAGCCCGAGATTGGGTTGTACAATCCAGATAACAGAACCGGATTGGATTTATTACGTAGCGATTAATCGATTAGAAAGCTTCGACTATTCGATTGTTCGACGGCAACAAGACGTATGTTCGCGATCAGACCAATCTTGGTTACGTAATCCTGCACCAGCTCTGTGGTCTGTGTTGGGAAAACTGCAGTTATCTTTGCAAGGAGGTTTAAACTGCACTTTCTCAAACGAAAAATTAAAGCAAAATTAAATGAATTGTCTTTCATACCTTTTTATATTTATTTTTATAATGATTAGGTTAAAACAACGAAAAAAAGGATTTTATAAAAAAATCCGGTGTTGATTTAACATAGTATGTTATGGTCCTTACAATTTTGATAGTTTCTTTTTCATTTTTTATAAATTTTGATTTTTAATGGGGATTTTCCCATAAAACCCCATAAAATAATGGAAAAATAGGATTTTCACAAAAATGGCCCGAACGATTTTGATAAAAATTTAGTATGTTATAGTCCTTTATATTCTGAACAAAATGGTACAAATCCCATCTATGTAAAAATTACAGTTCAAAAGTTATTGTAAATTATGATATTTTCCCATAAAAAACCCATAAAATAACGGAAAAATCGGATTTTCACCAAAATGGCTTTGAACGATTTTGATAAAAATTTAGTATGTTATAGTCCTTAAATTCTGAACAAAATTGTGCAAATCCCATTTCCGAATATTTACTCTCACCACACGTAAGAAAGGTTGTTGACAATCTTATGGGAGAAAGTATGTTTTAGAATGCTGATACCGTTTATTTTTATTTTATTTATTTGTATAATGATAAAGTTGATATACTGTTGGTGAGGTTACAGATTTTTGTTGTATTTTTTTGAAATGTGTATTTAATTGTTGGGTATTTACAAATTGGCTCGACAATTCAGCTTATGCATTGAGGATTAGATAATGGTTAAACTTGTTAAGAGTCCTGCACCGTCATCTGTGTAATGTATCTGTTGCTCGAAATCGAGCAGTTTGTCAACTGCCTACTAGTACAGGAATTATTTTCAAACTAATAACATTCACAATTTTCTCTAATGAGCTTAAAAGACTAAACTAAAAGCTTACTTGAAATACTCACCGGTGTTAATAACAGTTTGATGTAAATATACACTTCTTGTAAATATGTTTTTTTATTTTTTTCAGAAGATTAGTTATTAGGTATGTTTACTTTACCACTGTGACAACACGATGTGTACATTCTTCATGTGTTTTTTTTTTCACTTCCAAAGTAAGTTACATAGCATTACTGGCAAATATTATTGATCCCTCCAAGTGAGTGTGTATCTGGATTCCTTACTGTTTGACCAAGCCTCTCTTCTTCACATAAGATCTCTTAATTGTCTCCTCCTCCTGTTTTTCAATATTTTTTCTTTGAACTACAGCATTTTATTGTCTTCCAACAAAACAGATTAACTGTTTACATTGGTCTATAACCTTCTGAATATTACAAACATCAATATTTACTCCAAAAAAAACCTGCTGAGTTTCTTTTTATAAACATCTGTTTTGTATAGCAAAATATACCTTATAGGAAAACTAAAATTTGACACGATTTTCTCGACAACTCAAACGTTGAAATTGCTCCACAAAAGGGAGGAGTGGTGTTCATAAAAAAACTGCTTCACGTATTATAGATATTCTTGTATTCTAAAGACATTTTGTATTTAATATCTCAGTATAGTAGAATACATGTATCAAACTAACTAACGAAAAAGCATTGGTTATAAACCTTGCATGAAGGTTGAGGCGGGATACACTTGAATGAGTTCGCGAACCAGCTTGATCGGACCACGGGAACGGGGTTTTACGGGGTGTTTTATGGGGTAAAAATTGGCTTTTCTAATTTTTTACCCTAAAAAAATCCCAATTTCTCTCTAGAAAGTTTAAAGAGCTTAGAAAATAATTAATTTTGTATATCAAAGCTTCTTTGTACGGTTATTAGTTACGGAGAAAACTAAACAAATCGTAATTTTAAATTCCCATGTTATTCTTATGGAGAATATTGTAATATTATTGTAGTTTGCTTGTTTGTGAATAAATTTTGATCAAACTTGGCAAATTTTGT